CGACAGTGAAAAGAACCATAAGAAATATTGAGAAAATTCGTGTTAGAATTATTAATCTTACTTTTTCGGTCATATTTAATATATATATATATATATATATATATATATATATATATATATATATATATATATATATATATATATATATATATATATATATATATATATATATATATATATATATATATATATATATATATATTAAATATGACCGAAAAAGTAAGATTAATAATTCTATATATTATATATATATATATATATATATATATATATATATATATATATATATATATATATATATACAATTATTAATCTTACTTTTTCGGTCATATTTAATTTATATATATATATATATATATATATATATATATATATATATATATATATATATATTTATATAACCCACTGCAGTGGTGCAGTGGGTTAAAGGCGTACCTGTTATGCCAGTTGCTGGAAGGCTTCTGTGCTGGCTAGGGTTCGAGTCTCCTGGTGGGAAAGTGTTCTAAAGTTGTATAACTTCACTCTCGTGTTTAGGAGAGTTGTGCCTCATATATATATATATATATATATATATATATATATATATATATATATATATATATATATATATATATATATATATATATATATATATATAACACGCTGACTTGTAATGTCAATCCTGACCTTAAAAGCTTCCTTGAAGGTTGTAACAGAACCCATGAGCACCACACCAGAAACAAATACCTTTTTGATATTCCAAGAGTACGACTTAATCAAACTAGAAATGCTCTACAAATCAAGGGACCCAGAATGTGGAATGACCTTCCCAATTATGTTAAAGACTGTACCTCTCCCAACCTGTTTAAGATAAAATCTAAGCACTACCTAATTAACTCCCTGTAACCTACCTTACCCCTAAAATGTCAACCCATGTCTGCTATTTTTTAACAATGCTGTTTGTGGACCAAATTCTATTTTTGCTATTTTTCTGACATGTTCCCCCTTTTTTATTTTTATATATTCTCAACACAATTTATACTTTAGTATCAATTAGTATTAAGTTTTAGTTTTTAGTGTTTTTCCTGCCCGAAACGCTATGCGTCATAGTGGCTTTAGGCATTGTATGTACTAGCTCTATCTATGAAACCATCAATGTTTGTATCACACCTTGTATGTATGTACTTTTCCTGAATAAATATTTGAATTTTGGATTTGAACATTTTTCTTGTAGCGAGTGTAGTATTATATAAACAATATACTTGCTCCAAACTCATTAGCTTAATGAGAAAAGCAAAGCTCTCATTAGCACTAATTATGAAACTCAAATCTTTTCCCTAATTTCAGTTAACATTCTTTTTATCCTTACAACCTATTGGAGGACGTGGAGATGAGGTGTAGTCCAATCATATAAGCGATCGAGAAGCGAGTAATCATCAGTATAATTTCTACAGTGATTCACTTAACTTCAATACAGATGCTTCGGAGTTACCACACCTCTTCAACCTCAAGAATGTAGCACTCGGCGTATGCAGTTCTAATCAACCTCAAGATGCTCCAGCTTCGACACAGAGCAGAACGCACTCTACGACCGCGTGGAGCTACCACGCTCTAGGCCTAGGCCTAGAGGCCTAGAGTTTAGACACTCACCATCCCGCATCAAGCCGCCACGCTCTCTTGCATAGAGCTCTTCAACTCCGGCCTCACTCAGCTCTGTGCTCTGCTGCAAGTTCTGTCTCAACGTCTACGACACTGCCAACAACTGACTGCTCTAACCAAGACTACTGAAGAAATATGAAAGCCCACTAAACACTGTGCATCTAATCTACCCAACAACGTAACACAATCATACGTTACACACTCATACCCCACTCCCAAACCCGCATGGGGCCTTCCCACCTACCAGGACCCCCCCCCCATCATTCCTCTGAACCAGACCTCTCCACTGTCCCCCACCAACCTCCTCCTCCAAGCCCACCACCCATCCACTCTGCCCCAACAACCAGCCCCTCTTCTGTCACCCAGGAGGACCAGCTGCCTCCCCCACCAAGCTCAAGACTGACACAAGACTGACAGACAATGCAGAGTTGTCAGTGAGCCGTGGAGGGAGAAACAAGGGGTGGGGACGTCGGTCTGTGAATTAGCATAGGATCTCGGGATAACTGAGTGACAAAGAGCCCAAAGCGTAGTCTTGGTCCTAGGCAGTGTACAGCTGCGCAGTTATAGTATCACAGTAAATTCTTAGAACGTTAGATAAGAAAAATTACAGAAGAACGAGCCTTGAGAACACAGTGCCACCAGCGAGGAGAGCAGCATTTTGAACAACGCTGTGGGCAGTCGACCGAACCCCGACATATATACTCAACTAAGTTGTGCTTGTTGGCGGTGAGTACCCTCTCTCTAGGTCATCAATAAGGTGTACAGATTGATTTTAAATATTACGTTAGAATATATCATAGTTATGTAAAAGCCAGAGTATAGAGGTTCGCATTAAACCTTCAGCTCAGGAAGTAGGAAGTTGACACCTAGGTGGGAGTGACTTCTACTAAAACACATACACACACACACACACACACACACACACACACACACACACACACACACACACATGCACGCACGCACGCACGCACGCACGCACACACACACACACACACACACACACACACACACACACACACACACACACACACACACACACACACACGGCGGTCAGGGAACTACAAGGTGTGTAGCTAGCAGGGTGCAACATAGCATAGTCATATCGCTAGCGATAGTGCGAAGATTTGGCGAAGAAACCAAAGTGGAGCTAGTGGCATCACCGGTGCATGTAAGTGTGCGACCTGATGGGACGCCCCGCCGTGGAACTACCTGATTGTGCTGTTGAGTGGTGACTGTGATCAGTGGTACAGTGAATTAGTGAACTGTCACACAACGATATAGTGACTGACTCCAGAGCTTTGTGTAGATAGAGAAGAACCGACCTCATCAATCTACCAGCACTTAGTGAATCACCAAGTGGGAGACAACGACGGATAACCATCGTCATCATACATCGTCCTTACTCATCTGGTTGTGTGAGCGGGAGGAAACTGGTATGTACCCCCTCTCTGGTCAATTAATCAGGTGTACAGATTGAGGTAAAATAGTATCTAATTCTTGTTCAGGATGTCATATATAATTAAAAATCTTATGCCACTATAATATAAAATGCCATATATATAAAACGCATAAGGGATATCTTGACACATACAAGCACACCCACCCACGTACGTATACACGCACACAAGTGTGCACACGCTAAAACAGACACACATACACACACGCACACATGCACACACACACACACACACACACAATCGTTCAGTCAGGGGAAAAGGCATTAACACCTGGGATCAGGACCTTACTATCCCCCCCCTCTTGACCCCCCCATCTGACCTGACCTGACCTGACCTGGTCGCCATCTCCGCCCCCCCCCCCACCCCCAGTCCCCCGCATCACCCATACACACACTCTTCCCCTCCCCACTCTCTCCCTCTCCCACTCCCTCTCTCCCACTCTCTATCTCTCTCCCACTCTCTCTCTCTCCCACTATCTCTCTCCTGCTCACTCTCTCTCTCTCTCTCTCTCTCTCTAACTCTCTCTCTCTCTCTCTCTCTCTCTCTCTCTCTCTCTCTCTCTCTCTCTCTCTCTCTCTCTCTCTCTCTCTCTCTCTCTCTCTCTCTCTCTCTCTCTCTCTCTCTCTCTCTCTCTCTCTCTCTCTCTCTCTCTCTCTCTCTCTCTCTCTCTCTCTCTCTCTCTCTCTCTCTCTCTCTCTCTCTCTCTCTCTCTCTCTCTCTCTAACTCTCTCTCTCTCTCTAACTCTCTCTCTCTCTAAACTCTCTCTCTCTCTCTAACTCTCTCTCTCTCTCTAACTCTCTCTCTCTCTCTAACTCTCTCTCTCTCTCTCTCTCTCTCTCTCTCTCTCTCTCTCTCTCTCTCTCTCTCTCTCTCTCTCTCTCTCTCTCTCTCTCTCTCTCTCTCTCTCTCTCTCTCTCTCTCTCTCTCTCTCTCTCTCTCTCTCTCTCTCTCTCTCTAGCCACTAGCAGGCAGGAAGGTGCCACTAGCAGCATGGAAGGAGCCACTAGCAGGCAGGAAGGTGCCACTAGCAGGCTGGAAGGTGCCATTAGCAGGCAGGAAGGTGCCACTAACAGGCAGGAAGGAGCCTCTAGCAGGCAGGAAGGTGCCACTAGCAGGCAGGAAGGCGCCACTAGCAGGCAGGAAGGTGCCACTAGCAGGCAGGAAGGCGCCACTAGCAGGCAGGAAGGTGCCACTAGCAGGCAGGAAGGCGCCACTAGCAGGCAGGAAGGCGCCACTAGCAGGCAGGAAGGTGCCACTAGCAGGCAGGAAGGCACCACTAGCAGGCAGGAAGGTGCCACTAGCAGGCAGGAAGGTGCCACTAGCAGGCAGGAAGGCACCACTAGCAGGCAGGAAGGTGCCACTAGCAGGCAGGAAAGTGTCACTAGGAGGCAGGAAGGTGCCACTAGCAGGCAGGAAGGAGCCACTAGCAGGCAGGAAGGCACCACTAGCAGGCAGGAAGGTGCCACTAACAGGCAGGAAGGAGCCACTAGCAGGCAGTAAGGTGCCACTAGCAGGCAGGAAGGTGTCACTAGCAGGCAGGAAGGTGCCACTAGCAGGCAGGAAGGCGCCACTAGCAGGCAGGAAGGTGCCACTAGCAGGCAGGAAGGTGTCACTAGGCGGTAGGAAGGTGCCACTAGCAGGCAGGAAGGTGCCACTAGCAGGCAGGAAGGTGCCACTAGCAGGCAGAAAGGTGTCACTAGGAGGCAGGAAGGTGCCACTAGCAGGCAGGAAGGTGCCACTAGCAGACTGGAAGGTGTCACTAGGAGGCAGGAAGGAGCCACTAGCAGGCAGGAAGGTGCCACTAGCAGGCAGGAAGGTGCCACTAGCAGGCAGGAAGGAGCCACTAGCAGGCAGGAAGGAGCCACTAGCAAGCAGGAAGGAGCCACTAGCAGGCAGGAAGGCACCACTTGCAGGCAGAAAGGTGCCACTAGCAGGCAGGAAGGTGCCACTAGCAGGCGGGAAGGTGCCACTAGAAGGCAGGAAGGTGTCACTAGCAGGCAGGAAAGAGCCACTAGCAGGCAGGAAGGTGACACTAGCAGGCAGGAAGGCGCCACTAGAAGGCAGGAAGGTGACACTAGCAGGCAGGAAGGTGCCACTAGCAGGCAGGAAGGAGCCACTAGAAGGCAGGAAGGTGACACTAGCAGGCAGGAAGGTGCCACTAGCAGGCAGGAAGGTGCCACTAGAAGGCAGGAAGGTGCCACTAGCAGGCAAGAAGGTGCCACTAGAAGGCAGGAAGGTGCCATTAGCTGGCAGGAAGGTGCCACTAGCAGCCAGGAAGGTGCCACTAGAAGGCAGGAAGGTGCCACTAGCAGGCAGGAAGGTGCCACTAGCAGGCAGGAAGGCACCACTAGCAGGCAGGAAGGTGCCACTAGCAGGCGGGAAGGTGCCACTAGCAGGCAGGAAGGCACCACTAGCAGGCAGGAAGGTGCCACTAGCAGGCGGGAAGGTGCCACTAGAAGGCAGGAAGGTGTCACTAGCAGGCAGGAAAGAGCCACTAGCAGGCAGGAAGGTGACACTAGCAGGCAGGAAGGCGCCACTAGAAGGCAGGAAGGCGCCACTAGAAGGCAGGAAGGTGACACTAGCAGGCAGGAAGGTGCCACTAGCAGGCAGGAAGGCGCCACTAGAAGGCAGGAAGGTGACACTAGCAGGTAGGAAGGTGCCACTAGCAGGCAGGAAGGTGCCACTAGCAGGCAGGAAGGTGCCACTAGAAGGCAGGAAGGTGCCATTAGCTGGCAGGAAGGTGCCACTAGCAGGCAGGAAGGTGCCACTAGAAGGCAGGAAGGTGCCACTAGAAGGCAGGAAGGTGCCACTAGCAGGCAGGAAGGAGCCACTAGCAGGCAGGAAGGAGCCACTAGCAGGCAGGAAGGAGCCACTAGCAGGCAGGAAGGCACCACTAGCAGGCAGGAAGGTGCCACTAGCAGGCAGGAAGGTGCCACTAGCAGGCGGGAAGGTGCCACTAGAAGGCAGGAAGGTGTCACTAGCAGGCAGGAAAGAGCCACTAGCAGGCAGGAAGGTGACACTAGCAGGCAGGAAGGCGCCACTAGAAGGCAGGAAGGTGACACTAGCAGGCAGGAAGGTGCCACTAGCAGGCAGGAAGGAGCCACTAGAAGGCAGGAAGGTGACACTAGCAGGCAGGAAGGTGCCACTAGCAGGCAGGAAGGTGCCACTAGAAGGCAGGAAGGTGCCACTAGCAGGCAGGAAGGTGCCACTAGAAGGCAGGAAGGTGCCACTAGCTGGCAGGAAGGTGCCACTAGCAGCCAGGAAGGTGCCACTAGAAGGCAGGAAGGTGCCACTAGCAGGCAGGAAGGTGCCACTAGCAGGCAGGAAGGCACCACTAGCAGGCAGGAAGGTGCCACTAGCAGGCGGGAAGGTGCCACTAGAAGGCAGGAAGGTGTCACTAGCAGGCAGGAAAGAGCCACTAGCAGGCAGGAAGGTGACACTAGCAGGCAGGAAGGCGCCACTAGAAGGCAGGAAGGCGCCACTAGAAGGCAGGAAGGTGACACTAGCAGGCAGGAAGGTGCCACTAGCAGGCAGGAAGGCGCCACTAGAAGGCAGGAAGGTGACACTAGCAGGCAGGAAGGCGCCACTAGAAGGCAGGAAGGTGACACTAGCAGGCAGGAAGGTGCCACTAGCAGGCAGGAAGGAGCCACTAGAAGGCAGGAAGGTGACACTAGCAGGCAGGAAGGTGCCACTAGCAGGCAGGAAGGTGCCACTAGAAGGCAGGAAGGTGCCACTAGCAGGCAAGAAGGTGCCACTAGAAGGCAGGAAGGTGCCATTAGCTGGCAGGAAGGTGCCACTAGCAGCCAGGAAGGTGCCACTAGAAGGCAGGAAGGTGCCACTAGCAGGCAGGAAGGTGCCACTAGCAGGCAGGAAGGCACCACTAGCAGGCAGGAAGGTGCCACTAGCAGGCGGGAAGGTGCCACTAGAAGGCAGGAAGGTGTCACTAGCAGGCAGGAAAGAGCCACTAGCAGGCAGGAAGGTGACACTAGCAGGCAGGAAGGCGCCACTAGAAGGCAGGAAGGCGCCACTAGAAGGCAGGAAGGTGACACTAGCAGGCAGGAAGGTGCCACTAGCAGGCAGGAAGGCGCCACTAGAAGGCAGGAAGGTGACACTAGCAGGTAGGAAGGTGCCACTAGCAGGCAGGAAGGTGCCACTAGAAGGCAGGAAGGTGCCACTAGCAGGCAGGAAGGTGCCACTAGAAGGCAGGAAGGTGCCATTAGCTGGCAGGAAGGTGCCACTAGCAGGCAGGAAGGTGCCACTAGAAGGCCGGAAGGTGCCACTAGCAGGCAGGAAGGAGCCACTAGCAGGCAGGAAGGAGCCACTAGCAGGCAGGAAGGAGCCACTAGCAGGCAGGAAGGCACCACTAGCAGGCAGGAAGGTGCCACTAGCAGGCAGGAAGGTGCCACTAGCAGGCGGGAAGGTGCCACTAGAAGGCAGGAAGGTGTCACTAGCAGGCAGGAAAGAGCCACTAGCAGGCAGAAAGGTGACACTAGCAGGCAGGAAGGCGCCACTAGAAGGCAGGAAGGTGACACTAGCAGGCAGGAAGGTGCCACTAGCAGGCAGGAAGGAGCCACTAGAAGGCAGGAAGGTGACACTAGCAGGCAGGAAGGTGCCACTAGCAGGCAGGAAGGTGCCACTAGAAGGCAGGAAGGTGCCACTAGCAGGCAAGAAGGTGCCACTAGAAGGCAGGAAGGTGCCATTAGCTGGCAGGAAGGTGCCACTAGCAGCCAGGAAGGTGCCACTAGAAGGCAGGAAGGTGCCACTAGCAGGCAGGAAGGTGCCACTAGCAGGCAGGAAGGCACCACTAGCAGGCAGGAAGGTGCCACTAGCAGGCGGGAAGGTGCCACTAGAAGGCAGGAAGGTGTCACTAGCAGGCAGGAAAGAGCCACTAGCAGGCAGGAAGGTGACACTAGCAGGCAGGAAGGCGCCACTAGAAGGCAGGAAGGCGCCACTAGAAGGCAGGAAGGTGACACTAGCAGGCAGGAAGGTGCCACTAGCAGGCAGGAAGGCGCCACTAGAAGGCAGGAAGGTGACACTAGCAGGTAGGAAGGTGCCACTAGCAGGCAGGAAGGTGCCACTAGAAGGCAGGAAGGTGCCACTAGCAGGCAGGAAGGTGCCACTAGAAGGCAGGAAGGTGCCACTAGCAGGCAGGAAGGAGCCACTAGCAGGCAGGAAGGTGCCACTAGCAGGCAGGACGGTGCCACTAACAGGAAGGAAGGAGCCAGTAGCAGGCAGGAAGGTGCCACTAGCAGGCAGAAAGGTGCCACTAGCAGCCTGGAAGGAGCCACTAGCATGCAGGAAGGTGCCACTAGCAGGCTGGAAGGTGCCATTAGCAGGCAGGAAGGCGCCACTAGCAGGCAGGAAGGTGCCACTAGCAGGTAGGAAGGTGCCACTAGCAGGCAGGACGGTGCCACTAACAGGAAGGAAGGAGCCACTAGCAGGCAAGAAGGAGCCACTAGCAGGCAGGAAGGTGCCACTAGCAGGTAGGAAGGTGCCACTAGCAGGCAGGACGGTGCCACTAACAGGAAGGAAGGAGCCACTAGCAGGCAAGAAGGAGCCACTAGCAGGCAGGAAGGTACCACTAGCAGGCAGGAAGGTGCCACTAGCAGGCTGGAAGGTGTCACTAGGAGGCAGGAAGGAGCCACTAGCAGGCAGGAAGGTGCCACTAGCAGGCAGGAAGGCGCCACTAGCAGGCAGGAAGGAGCCACTAGCAGGCAGGAAGGTGCCACTACCAGGCAGGAAGGTGCCACTAGAAGGCAGGAAGGCGCCACTAGCAGGCTGGAAGGTGCCACTAGCAGGCAGAAAGGTGCCACTAGCAGGCAGGAAGGCGCCACTAGCAGGCAGGAAGGTGCCACTAGCAGGCAGGAAGGTGCCACTAGCAGGCAGGAAGGGTTCACTAGCAGGCAGGAAGGCGCCACTAGCAGGCAGGAAGGAGCCACTAGCAAGCAGGAAGGTGCCACTAGCAGGCAGGAAGGCGCCACTAGCAGGCAGGAAGGTGCCACTAGCAGGCAGGAAGGTGCCACTAGCAGGCAGGAAGGTGCCACTAGCAGGCAGGAAGGTGCCACTAGCACGCAGGAAGGTGCCACTAGCAGGCAGGAAGGTGCCACTAGCAGGCAGGAAGGCGGCCACTAGAAGGCAGGAAGGCGCCACTAGCAGGCTGGAAGGTGCCACTAGCAGGCAGAAAGGTGCCACTAGCAGGCAGGAAGGAGCCACTAGCAGGCAGGAAGGTGCCACTAGCAGGCAGGAAGGTGCCACTAGCAGGCAGGAAGGTGTCACTAGCAGGCAGGAAGGTGCCACTAGCAGGCAGGAAGGCGCCACTAGCAGGCAGGAAGGTGCCACTATCAGGCAGGAAGGTGCCACTAGCAGCCTGGAAGGAGCCACTAGCAGGCAGGAAGGTGCTACTAGCAGGCAGGAAGGTGCCACTAGCAGGCAGAAAGGTGCAACTAGCAGGCAGGAAGGTGCCACTAGCAGGCAGGAAGGTGCCATTACCAGGCAGGAAGGAGTCACTAGCAGGCAGGAAGGTGCCACTAGCAGCCTGGAAGGAGCCACTAGCAGGCAGGAAGGTGCCACTAGCAGGCAGGAAGGAGCCACTAGCAGGCAGGAAGGTGTCACTAGCAGGCAGGAAGGTGCCACTAGCAGGCAGGAAGGAGCCACTAGCAGGCAGGAAGGTGCCACTAGCAGGCAGAAAGGTGCCACTAGCGGGCAGGAAGGCGCCACTAGCAGGCAGGAAGGGTCCACTAGCAGGAAGGAAGGTGCCACTAGCAGGCAGGAGTAACACGGGTTTGGGTACCTCTCTCTTATCTTATCTTCCTTCTACTCCCTCTACCCGTATTCTTACTTTTTATTCTCTACCAAGGGACTCCAAAACTTTTACCAAAGCCAACTCCACGCCACGTGGTCCTAAGACGATTGACCGACTTAGGATTCTACACCCAGTATGACGTGACCTAGGCTTTGAGCAAAACCCTAGAGTCGCCTCTACGCCGCCACCACCAGACCAGTAACACAAGAGCAATGATCGAGGTCTGGATCGATCACGCTAATTAATCAACCTAGGGGCTTGATCCCCACTATAAACGATGACCTTGAGTGTGGAATAAATTACACGGTAATGATAATTCCGATTCGATGTTAGAATCGGCGCCCAATACAACTCTGCCTCGTGTGGACCACGTGACCAGGACAAGTAAACATAAAAAAATGGAAACAATAAAAATGCAACTTATTAACTAATTAATTTATTAAAAGAAAAACTAAAACAAAATCTAAATATGTTCACTCCCTGTCACTTTAACACTCCCTACTTGACCTGAATGGCAAATGAGACTATTTCTATACATAACAATAGCAACTATACCTCTATGTTTTACCAGCTAAAGATGTTGGGCTGGTCTTGGGGAGAGGTAAGATGTTTGACCTCTCCCAGCTGCTCGGCAGATCACACTGATCTGTCCTCGTCTGATCTAGCCCAGACTAGAACATTGTATTGTTCCGCATCGCTTACCCAGTTACTTTAGCAAGGTTAAGTTATAACAATTAACCTCTGTTGTACTTAATTGATCCAGACTGGTTGAATTATTTTACTGAAATTAAATTACACAAGCCTCTAACGGCAGAGCTGTTCCCGATCACAAAAATGGTTATTAAAACTTTGAGAAATAGTAGACCTGTCAACCCTGCTGACCTATGACCGCCGGTCACTCCGCCTTACAAGTTAGATATGATTCGTGACGTCACTGATGGTGACTTAAACTCAATAATTAGAATACTCTTGATATTGTATCCAGTACTATTATACAATACAATTTTAATACAAAATGAATAAAGGCTAATTTCTCTAAATTACTGAATAATATAGGATGATTCATTATACGCAGCTATGAACAAAGCGTTGGTTATTTCCACCGCGAATTCCCCTGGGGGTCAGGTCCCCAGGTCACCATGCGGGCTCAGCTTCCCATCCTCTTTTGTCGATAAACCACTCTGGATAATTCTTACAACAGCCTAGTTTGTTACACAGGAAGGTGCCACTAGCAGGCAGGAAGGTGCCACTAGCAGGCAGGAAGGTGCCATTAGCAGGCAGGAAGGTGCCACTAGCAGGCAGGAAGGCGCCACTAGGAGAGAGGCAGCCGTTACGACCTGTACCTAAAATAACCCCAAAATATAATCACTCGCCGGTGTGATAAAAGTTAAGAGGATTTAGAAAGCGAGCGCGTCAAGCAGCCTCCAGTAATCGCTTTTTCCATTGATAATTCATTGTTTGAATGCAGCTATCATCGAATTACTGGTAGGTAAGGTAAGGTAGGAAAGGTAGGTAAGGTAGGTAAGGTAGGTAAGGTAGGTAAGGTTAGGTAGGTAAGGTAGGTAAGGTAGGTAAGGTAGGTAAGGTTAGGTAGGTAAGGTAGGTAAGGTAGGTAAGGTTAGGTAGGTAGGAGCTCCTGAACAATACAGATGAACACTGCTATGAGTGTAGACGGAACACCTGATGACAGTCTATACGTTTGAGAGAGTATATATTTGTTGTCTGTCCGTATGTGCGTTGAGGCCAGACGCTTGGGTCTAACCTCACCTAAACTTGCAGGGGTGACTGGTCTGGGGTACGGGATGGACATAGGCTGGTTTGTTTCGGCCTCAGATAAATACTTATAGGAATATTAGCATTTATAGAGTGCGTCTTCCCATGAGGTTTTCATGTTGTCCAGTGTGGAATATTTGCTCTCATACAAAATTATTCAGTTGTTTTTAGTAATAAATTTTTCGAGAGAAGGGGAAAGAGAGGAGAATGTGGAGGGGGGAGGGGGTAGGCGAGGGGGTAGG